TCCTTGTGTACACACCGCAAGCCGGATGTCCCTAAGTGATAAGGAAGACTCTATCTCAGTCTTCTTCTTCTTCTCCTTAGCGTTAGTCCCGCGCAGTCGCGAAGTCCGCTGTCTTTGAACAGTCGTCGCACTTCGCTCTGTCTAGGCATCTCTTGCAGTGGCCGTGATTTACTTAAGGTCCTTCTTGATCACATCCTTCCACCTTTCGTCAGGGCTCTCGCGGTCGCTTGCCTTTGCACCTCGAACTTCATCGCATTCTTTATCGGGTGACTTTCCACCTGTCTCAGCACATGTCATACCACCGCAGTCGTTGCTCGCTCACCTTCAGCTGACAGGGGCAGTCTGCATGAACGCTCTGATATCCTCGTTCCTGACCCCAATCGCAGAAATCAATGCGCAAAGACTTTTCTTGGCATCCCAACAAGTATAGTTTATTTTTCGCAACTTTTTCTGCGTCTATACATGCCAGCTTTTGCGTAGTGCAGTAGGCTTCCTCCCAACCTGCTCAAAACGAACCAAACTTGTCTTAATAATTCTTCATTTTGTTAAGTTGCAAGAATTGCGATAACAGCTGAGACCGCCCGGAGGTGGGTGCAGAGGCGCCAAATGGTGTTGCTATGAAAAAAAACCAGCAAATGGCGAGAAACTCGAGCAAGGGTCTTTTTCTGTCCCTCGACGCTTCGGTCGCTGTCGCTGCACCTTGTCCTTGTTTAGTCATACTATTAGTGCCGTGTTCGGAATTTCACTATTACATACCCCAGAGGGGGTGAGATGGGTCAAAATTTTTTCGCTGAAATTTCGCAGTATGGGGGTTATCGAGGGTTCCTGACACGAAGATGACCTCACTTTTTGGCGCTGGCGCCAAATGGCCGCCATTCGCGCCAATTGGCGCCAAGGGTGTTCTCACGAAGGGCGCTGAAACTTCGCTATGTGCGGTTATCGAGGTCCTGATCACGATATGACCTCCTATTTTTGGCGCTGAGCCTCCTATTACGGCCATTGGCCCCCCCCAGTAAAAGGTTGGAAGGAGGATCCGGAGCAATTTCCACGCTCGGACCAGTCAGCGTTGTGGGAAAGGCTGTAGGACCTAAGCGATTTCCCACGCTTGGACAACCAGGCCCTGTGTGAAGGCGATGTGACCCCAGGCGAATTCCCACGCTTGGCAGACACCAGGTTATGGGAATCGGGTGCGTTGCCATAGGCTCATTTCGCACTGTCGTGACCGAAAGTGCAAGCTATGCGCTCTGCACGCTTTGAGCAACCGTAATCGCCAAACGGAGCTGATGGAACTGGCTCATTGACGGATGTCGTCGAAAAACTGCAGATGGATCACCTGCAGTTCCAGAGATGGCTCTGCGAAGTATGGGGCTGATGTCCACGCCAATTATGTCCTTCCTGCCCAAGGATCCATGCAGTTTCAATGGTCGAGCCGGCACTAATATGCCTCGCTCCCCGAACACGAGCTCTGGCCAAAAAATGGAGTATATTCGCATGACAGCGGACCCTCAGATAACCCCCATATGCGATAGTTTTCAGCGAATTTCGCGTGGAGAACACCCTTGGCGCCAATTGGCGCCAAATGGCGCCAATTGGGCCAGCGACCAAAAAAAGGGAGGTCATATACCCGTGATCAGGACCCTCTAGAACCCCCATAGTGCGAAGTTGCAGCCTAAAAAAATTTTTTGGACCCATCTCACCCTCTGCGGGTTGTAAGTGCTAGTGGCCGTTTCATATGTCTCATCTATAACGAACATTCACTGTGCACTGCAGAAAAGAATCTTCTATTTCATGAACTGTAACCTGTTGTACCGGTTTCTATACTCGATATTCAGAGGTTGGGCGTAAGCGTTCACCAGAAAGTGAACGTCGCACTTGATAAGAAGCTATATGGATAAAGTTGCTTCCACACATTATCGCTGAAGGGACGGCCGTCATTAGTGGCGCGATCAAATCGGCATTGTAGCGCAGAATCGCGAGATGCCCCACCCTGCCTGCGACCGGACAACTCGTCGTCACTCACAGAGCAGCTAAAGTCAAGCGAGGCCGTCCGAGAGAATTTTGGAAATACGACCCCCCCCCACCCCCTCCACCGCGAGGGCCGAATGTCCAATGAAACAAAACTCTATCAAAAAGACACAGAACTATGAACAAGCGTGAAAAGTTGTTTTAATTCTCCCCCAAAAACTAGTCATAAAAAGCCTTGCTACACCACACCCCCCATCAAAAAAATTCGATATCAAGAAGATAAAAAGTATGAAAAAGTCAAGAAAATGAAGCAGAAAAAAAAAAATAGCGTTTTCATTTCGGACGGAATTTTTAGCGGAGTATTTGTTCATTTATTGATAAGTCCTACCAAAACGAGGCAAACGAGGAAACAGACCAACAAAAAACGACAACTAGCCACTAAAAAATGGCACAACCATTACAACATCTAGCTTCTTTATTTATTTCCCTCCACAAGACTTACCAAATCTAGTATTACACAGATTGTGGTTTTCAATTTGCACGTAGCCTTCAGTGATAGAAGCTTTTACCGCCTTGCCAAGCTTGATGTGGTGACTGACTTTGGACGTGAAGCAGCTGATTTCTATTGGAAATTTGAAAAATATATCAAATGATCAATTAACTTTCTTCAAATTATGACGAATTTCAATCTGAAAGCAGATTTGGACGTTTATGTGAAGGTTTTTCGTAATCAGTATTTAAATTACAGAAAAGTTTAAGATATAACAATTAGTGGGTAATTAACGAGAAAATCGAGATGAGCACGAGTTTTTACACTTTCCGAAAGGCAAAACTGCTTCATTTTTCGTCTAATTCGAGAAGTTAATAGTGGACAGACAAAACTGGAGATTATCCTCTACAAAACATTGCCTTTAAAGCAGCTCTATACGTCCAGTATTCGAAAAATGCCCACGGAGAGGATTTTCACAAAATTAACGAGGAAAATTTGTTGCGAGGGGCCGAGTTTTTTTACTCCTAAAGCAATAACTCGGTCAAACTCATCCATCCGAAAAGTAAGTACGCTTTATAAACTGAGCAAGATTTGCCTCTATTAAATTATTTACTAGAACCTTGCTCCAAACGTCCGTCATTAGAAAAACGGCTACGTTGGAGATTTTGCACGAGTTACGCCGAACGGTTACTTTTTCGTTTACATTGCGCACATATTTCAAGCGCTATTATATCCTTTCAAGGCGATTATGTACTAAGTAAGAGCAGATGGAATCACTGCTTTCTCTCTTAAGAAAAGTGTATTGTTAGCTTCGCAATTTTAAAGATTACATATTATGAATTTACCCGAGGTCATGTTAACGCTGTTGAATGGGGTAAACCCCTGTAAATCGCGACGGACACTTTCAGAATTTCTCTCGATTTGTTCACTGAATGAGGTGTTTGTCTCAATGGGCCGGTAGTTGGAGCGGCGCGTCAACAACTGACCCTTATCTCGATTGCGCGTGTTACTCACAACCTCTTCGATTCGGCGGTCTTGCTTGAAGGATGAAATATCTCTTGGAAAGCGTGCAAATCAAGATTTCTTTGATTTGCTGTGGTGAATAAAACACGTGAAGTGAACTAAGAATTACTGGAGCTCAGAATCAGAAAATTATGTGTGGACTCGTGAAATATCATGTTTCATTGGAAATCTCTAAGCGGTGGCTCGACTCATCCTTGATATTTGCTCTTCCAACGGTGATCACCCACTGCATCAAAATGGCTCATCTCGTTCCACACAGCGGGCATACAAAACCCCCACCCCCCTCCCCTCTGCGACGTCGTTGAGCGAGTCCTCAAACGCTACGTTGACCCTGCCCTCACAAGCCCTTCAACTAGTAGACTTCATAAGCTGATTCGATGGTGATAATGTGAACAACAAAACATCCGCTGAGTCCGAAAAGATCTAAAAAAGGGGCGATAAGTTCCTGCTGGGCTCCGATGCCAAGGCAACAGGCACGCGCGAGGAAGTGCTGCGGCGATCTAGTTAATCTGGCCACAGCAGGTCTGGATGATTACGGGCTGCACGCTCGCAATGCCGTATGGGATTCGTGCCATATGACGCACACCCATCGCTGGATATCAAAGCAAAGATGCGTGGCAACCAGCACATCCAGGCAACTTCCTAGAGTGCACTTCACTTCCGGTGACACGTCTACCCAACTTTCGGATATCGGCTGTATCCATGTTGGTCTGTAGGTCCGAAATGAAGATGTGATATGTGAAGTGAGCTTAAACAGGCCGCCCAGCGAAACTGGGTAGCCTCAGCGAAGACTTGCTCATTCGTGTTTTGCATGCCTGTTGTTGATTAAACAGCACCCAACGGCTAGTGTGAGCACCTACTTAGCAATTTTATGGGTCCTTTTAGGGCTGCAGTGGCTGCCTAAAAAGCAGGGAAGGAAGGAGGGACATTGACATGGAGGGACAGCACGAACGCCAAAGCTCGCACAGCGAAGAGAGCATTACGGCAGTTACCGGCAGGACCAACCGGGGTCAGCTATAAGAGAAAGCTGAATCTAATATAGGCTTCAAGGATGTTGGCACTCGGCACGTAAAAAGCAAGATGAAGAAGTACACTCGCACAGCACGTCTGGTAGCGTATGTCTGATCACGTTGGACCAGTTCTGCTCAGAGGACGCTTTTTTGCGTCGAAAGCGCGCTTCGATTCGTCTTCGTGGACTCTCCTCTACCCTCTCCACTAAACATATTTCTCTTTATTGACATCAACTTTATCGCGAGTTTTGCCTTTTGCGATCTCTTCTACTGCATATGATTCATTTAGTATTTCGACACACAATATTCATGGCTCTATTTTGCTAGTGTAATGACCAACTCACGGCTTGGACATTTGCAGAGGATTAGAGTTTTATTTGAACATAATCAGAAGAAACGTACTGCTGCCCTGAACTGTGCTAGAACATGGTCTGTATAGCATTTTCATGCAGATTTATTACTTTCTTCTGTTATTCTATTCAGATCTTTTAGAATGTCAGACTGGTTGCTCCTCAAATGCGTCTACGTCTGACAGCCCCATCGTGAAGTCTGAAGATATACTTCCGTAGTAATTTTGACATGCGTGATCGATCCGGACATGGGCAGTATTGGGCATCTAGTCCTGGGAAGCCCTCGACTCCAGGCATTCCTGGCTTTCCATTAGCTCCTTTAAGTCCCGGCATCCCTGGTGGCCCAGGTAGTCCCACTGGTCCAGGCATTCCACCAGCTCCTGACGTTCCAGCAGATCCCGCAACGCCTGCCGGACCAGGGGGTCCCATGGGTCCAGGTGGTCCTCTCCCTCCGTATGCAATTTGCTCACATCTTCCAGGATCTCCAGGACTTCCAGGCATTCCTTTCAATCCTGGCGGTCCTGCATCACCTTGCGGGCCCGGAGGACCTGGAGGTCCATATCCGCCATCGGGACCTTTCATACCAGGATTGCCATCATTGCCAGCGCAACCCATAGGGCCATCTGGACCAGGTGCGCCTGGAGGTCCCATTGGACACTTTATGCATCCTAGTGTTGCACCACTGCCTGAAAGACTAATACCATCACGACCGTGCTTCCCTGCTATACCAGGCAGTCCAGGTTCTCCTCTTTCTCCAGGTAGACCGGGAGGACCTGGTGGACCTACAGGACAACGTGGTGGTTGCGGATTACAATGGCATATCTGACGCGGTAACCGTATCCTTCTCGATTCCCTTTTGATTCGGAAAATATCGTGAGGCTCGGGTTGCATCTCTCGCCATGCCGTGTTGGCGATGTCCTGTAAAGCAAACTCTCCAATTTTCCAGGATTTTTTTCATTTGCTTTCTATTATGTCACCTTTACTTCAACCAGTTGGCTAATGGTTTCAGCATAGAATTCTTCGATATCGGTGATGAGATATCCAACGGTGACCAAGCATACGGCCGTCATTATCGCTGCTGTAGTCACTACGCCAGCAGCGATGGCAGTGGGCGACGTCATTGCAGTGCCTGGAATTCAAAGGTGATCTAAAAGTATGCTGCTAAAGTTTACGGTGGAGTGCATAAAATAAAAAATCGATTTCACTCAATTGCTTCAAAATGAGCCACGTCCCTGATTTCCATTGAGAATCACAGATGCATGATCGACGCTTATGGTTAGGTGTATGCTTCAAGGCACCCTCCGGGATTGAGCATGTACACCTGTTACACCCGGACCTAGGAGACAGGCAAACAAGCATAAATGCCGCGCCCCTTTGCAGCCTGAAAGTGCGCAACAAAGGCGCTCGAAGCTCGCGCGACCAGCAATACACGCCTTCACCCGCAAGCCCCGCCTTCCGCGGTTAGGTGTCACGTGACGCTGTGGGAAAAGTGGGCTCAATTGCGGCGACGGTTGCATTGCAAATCAATGTCATTGACGCTGCAACTTTAGCTGTCCGTGAAACACGCAACACACCCCCTTCTGTATCCCAAGGTAGAATGCAGCTAAAAGAAAGAGGTCCCTATCCTGAGCGTAAGAGGACGTTTCTCTTGCTTTATTTCACTTTTTTGGACCACTTCCCACCTCCAGCCTCATTACTGAACGCTCCTCCTCACCGATTTTATCCCGGAGTTTGCCCGAAGCAGGCCCTTATCCCAGAAAAAGTCTAGCGCGGATCATTTGTTTGTAGCGTAGATTAAGCCCATGGGGGAGGTTTGATCCATGAACCTGCGCACCAGCGGACCCTCTCTACTGCGCCAGCCTGACTTCCCGATCAAGCCGAATAACAAGAAGCACGAACAGAACGGATTTGCGCAAGCCGAATCGTGTTTGTCAGTAAATAAAATAATAAAAGCACACAGCATAAAATCGATCTGAACTGAATCACTTTGGGCTTGAGGGACCATTTTTAGGTCATGCCACGCATTGCAGTTTTTCTTGGATGCGAATCTCGCCTGAAACAGTGAGTACGAAAAGCCCAGCTTATAAAAAATCATGTTTCATCATCTCCGACAGCTATTGCTACACTTCAAGGTCGATTCTGCAGGAATGCAAGCCTTGTTGCCTTTACTCAGACTTTTTGCGTTAAACTGAACACTATTGCCCGTGACAATCAGCGCCTACTGTCCAGCCAAACCAACCTTTTGCCCGCTTAGAAAAGAATATTCTGTGATGACAATGAGTTGGCAGCCAGAAAACGTTATCGACTGTCAATTGGAGGGTCACTAATACTCTAATGGACAAAGATTGTGACCGCACACGGAATCTTCAAAAAGGTGCCCGCAAAGTCTAATAGGAAGTTGCAAACAGGAAGAACACATTTCACTTCCGGAACACAGCAAATTATTAACAGAACTGTTGAAGCGAAAGTGACAAAACGCTGGTTTAAGTGTTTGGGGCTTTTATACATCAAGTGTAATCGTTGATCCATTATTGTGTTTTGACATCGCTAGAGAGCAAGTCAAGTTCTCACCGTTTTTGCTCGCCGAATCTTCGGTGAATCCTATTGCCAATGATACCACGCAAGCATCTGTAACGAGTTCCTGGGTTGCGAAAGCACCTCGGCACATCCTACTTTGTAAAGTGTAAAAGTCGCTATAAACAACATTAAGAGCTGGTCCTATACGACAGGATAAGCTGCATTGATTGATATCGCTCCGTGTTTAACTTGCTTGCATTCTGATCCTTATTACTTCAAGGTCTCAAACAACAAAGCAAGGTGCATCCAAAGTACGTGAGGTTGGCCAAAAGTGTTTTGTAATACGAGAAAACCTATGTTGATCGTGAAGTGTCAGCTTGTGCCTACTTCACGAAACCAACCCTTATCGCTAGGAGATCTGAGCTGAAGCTCCGAAGACCGTCGGTCGTGGTTTCTCTGGACCGGGTTCAACAGCTGGCAGCTTTCTAGCCCTACGAACAAACCGCCAAAGTGCGTTCCTAGGAGGGTGTCCAATGTGTTCGAAAGGCAAAAACACACAAAGTTTCGACATATTTTCTGAATTTTGCCAATGCTATTAATTATAATGACCAAACAATATGAATTTGCTGTCCTTTCTTTCTCCATGAGCTGACTCCACTTCCCGGAATACACAATACAACCACATAAGTTGTAGAGGGGGTGGTCGGCAAGGCGGGTCCAGTTCGCTTCTGATTCGGCTGAACGGCCCACCTTGCGACGACTCTAATACAACTCGATTAGAAAGGAATATCAAAAATGAACGCGGATTCGTACTTATTTCCATCTCACTGTTTCCCTTTGTTAAAATAGTCAATCTCGGAAAATATTCGATTTTCTATTGGAAACTTGCGCTTCAAACTGTAAACTCCCTGAGTTCAAGCAAGAGCATGATCTCCCTCGGACGGTATCAAGGTTGCCCGCACCCAGAAAGAGAATGAGCAGGACGTTGCATTTTTTTCGCTTTTCTAACAAGAGGGACGAGGAAGTGTCGGTCCTACCGCGTTGCGACCCTTTTCGAAGTTTTTTTACGACCGCCCCCCCCCCCTTCACACACTCATCGGCACCATGAGCCCTGTTTCTATTAGGTCGCAGACGAAGTCTCGCGCAGTTTCTTCAAGTCCTGACAAACGGGCTGCGCATGTAACTTGGAAAGGGGATAATTTTTTTGACCATACACAGGAATGAGTAACATCCCATTTTTCATTTCCGAGTCTCACCATCCTGCCAGGCTCTTTTGGAAGCCTGAAAATGCTATAAGCTTCTACCATGTACGTCGCACTAGACTTCTTGCGAATTTTTGTATGGACAACAAGCAGCGAGCGAATCCTGCCGCAAAATATGCTCTGTTGGAAGTAGGGGGGAGTGTAATTGAGAAACCTGCCAAAGCTTTTGGTTGCAGAAAGGCTCCGCGAAGAAAACTACAAACCCGAAGATGACGCCCAACGAAAATTAATTTCGACATGCATGCACGCATGCAAGCGCCAGAAGCTTGGCAAAGGAATGCAACTGCTTCAACATGCCAACTAGGTCGTGTTCGTCACATGCTGGAAAAAGTGAGAAAAACTTGGTCGATTGATCCCTCACTGATGACAGAGCCATTGCAGAAAAGAGTATCGGGTGTGCGAGTGTTCACTGCAGAGGAGTCGCCGTTTCGACTGTTGGATAATGTAATTACGTGGAGATGAAAGGCTGGTGCCTACCTATTCATACAAAGAAAAACAGTGAATGGATCGAACCAAAGCGCAGAGCTTGTTCCAGCCAAGAAGGTTCATCCAAGAAAGTTCCTCTGTCAGTTTGTGGAGAGTTCGGGTAACACGTCATAACGAATGCCAGACAATAACCAAGTACGTCAGACGCCGAGGGTAACTGGCTCACATTAAAAGGTCAGCAGTTGAAGTCCGAAACTTCGCCCTGAGATGGAAGAAGTTTTCTTCTTCATGACAACGGCGATGACCCATGTTTGCAAGGGTAACGCCAGGACACATTGCGGATACTTGGATCTAGCGGTTAACCCCCATCCTTCCATATTCCCCAAGGTGCTTGCGCCTACGGATTACCGACCCCTCCTTTCACTGGCTCACTTTCTCAGAGATATAAAAATACCTGACAACTTTCAATATTAAAAGCGGACCATGGGCACTGTCTTCGACTCGAAGCCTCCGAATTTTGAAGGTAAGACATTTGTTTCCTTTGTCGCCTGATGGGCGGACTGGTGTAAGTGCTGTGGGAATTATTATTAGGAATATAGTTCAATTCAAAAAAGAATGCGAAGTTTTTGTAAATTTGAGGGTTGAATACGCCCATTACTCGTTGTCGACCTAATATACTAATTCTAAGAACAGTTCGATTCACCTAATCCACACCACTTTTTAACTCCTAACTCACGCCTGGCAGAAGTGACTGTTGTGGCAAGAGCGGCTCCTTACATATCGCTCAATCCGGTGATCGAATGCCCGTGCGTCTGGGTTCAACCCAGCTCGGCCATCCCACCCGGTGCAGGATTAATTGGCAGCCAGACTTGTCTGGTCGGTAAATAAAAACCCTGACTTGATACTTGCTGCCCCCGCATAGTCAATTGTGTAGGCCCAAATCGCAACACCAAGGTGCCACGCATAATGTGCTAAATGGGATAGAATGCTGGCCCAGATCCCGAGGCAGGATTGGTCAACGGCAAATTTTTATCTGTCCTTTATTGTAAAAAGAGGGACTCTTTGTTCCTGAATGGGAGACGAATAATGCATTTCTCGTTCCCCTAGTTATATTCATACTAGGGTGAATATTGGTCGAGCATCTTTCAACGGCACGTCGAGGGTTTTCGCGTTTTCAGTTACGCTCTCCCGTCCAGACATTCACACCCGCCATGCGCAAGCCGTCCGCGCCCTCCGCGCGTACGCTCACTCTCGGCACTACTTTCGCACAGTAGAGGGCCATGGCCAAGGAATTCACCGTTATTCCCCCATCTTCCTAGGCAATCCATGCTCGGCGGCACTTTTGGACGGATAGGAAAATGTATGTAAGCTAGGGGCAGTGTTAGAGGTGCTGAGTGGATTCGGAATTGAATTCTATAGAAGCAGTTATGGTATTGAAAGGAAGTGTTGACGGTGAGGGTCGTACCCTCCAAAGCTCAGGGTGATGGGTGAGTGCCGGTAACTTTTTAAATAAGCCACGGCAGCCACACGGTTGGCCTTGCCTCTTCCCCTCCAACGGAAGTCGCTAGGTTGGTGTTGATGTCCTTATTCTGATGGTGATGTCGTTATTTGCTAGTGTGAATCGGGCTACAATCCCTTGTCATATTCGAACATGCATCGAATTCTTCTGGAATTCCGGAGGGAAGACGGGTGCGAGGCTCATTCGTAACTCATTTTGAGAACACCTCAGCGGCTTCTCGGAATCATGCAGTGTTTGACACCAGTACCTTAGGTAGGGATACATAGTGGCTGCTTCATTTGGATAGTATAACCTGTATCTAAACTGGGTTTATCTAGAATTCCATAGCCTCCAGTTGCTAATGCCTCATCATATCTGGGCAGCAGCCAAGGTTTAAATAAGATTTATCATCAATATATTACATATAATAGATACTAAAGACAGTCAATTACTAGTAGACATCGCCTGTATTGTGGTCGACAATGCTTCGTTTTGGAAAGTCTGACCTGATCTGGTGATGAGCTCACGCTTCTCTGATCCAGGTTGTGGGCATTGAGAAGTCCGGAACGACCGGACACTTACAGTAACCGGCGTCGCTACCTGGTGCTCCAGGTGCACCAGGTTCTCCTTCAGGACCATCGCTACCAGGCGCACCTGGCTTTCCAGGAGGACCTGGTGGTCCAATTGGTCCAGGTTCGTCTGACGTGGACCCTGGCACTCCCGGCTCACCTGGCGGCCCTTCGGGTCCTGGAGGCCCAGGTGGTCCAGGTAGGGCCATCCCTCCACCGCCACTAGATCCTGGTTTACCAGGTGCTCCGGGCTCACCAGGAGCTCCTGGCGGTCCTTGGTCTCCGGGAGGTCCTGGGGGTCCAGCCGGTCCTGGTGTGCCTCCAGTCGTCACAAGGCTTTTCTCTCCCGGAAGTCCATCTGGACCTGGTGGACCCGGAGGTCCATCGGGACCCGGCGGTCCAGGAGGTCCCACTGGGCACTCCGAGCATTGGCCTCCTTTACCGGTACCAGACGTCGATACGCGGCCGACACCAGGTAGACCTGGTTCTCCAGCGTGGCCTTGTTCCCCTGGTGGTCCTTGTGGTCCAGGGGGACCTGGAGGACCCACAGGGCAGCGATCACGTTGCGAAGAGCAAGGGCAATCAGAAGAACGTTTTGCTCGATGCGATTCCGCGTTTAGTTTGGCTTCCATTAGTGTCGGTCTCATTTCGTTCCACACAGAGTTTGCGGTTTCCTAAAAAGTGAGGCATAAGAGGCATTCACACTTATCGCTAAAAAGCATCCCCTCAAGATTAAGCCAGATCCGGGATTACTAGCGAAATTGAGCTGCCCCTCCCCCTCCCCCTCCCGAGAAAAGTGCACCGGTACGCAAGCAGAAAGTAGGTATAGAACTTTCAGAATGATTTGACAAAGATGAGGCACCAGGACCCTTAGGACCATGCTCCAATGGCCCCAAGCAACACCATTGAGCCACAAATCACTAGCTCGCTCAGATGCTAGTGAAGAGGATTTTCTATTTCAGCCTTGTCTTCGGTTTCCCCCCGTTTTCCCATTCTTGGCGTTACAATTCACATTCCCACTGTCACTCGCGAGCGCAATAATACTAGGTTTTCCCACAAGTAGTGTCGTTTTTATTCGAACGAAAAATTTTCTTACTAAGATGTGGCGTTTTATATCAGTCATGCCAAACTTGAAGGAGAATTGCCTGCCCTTAAAGGTTGTGGTTTCGATCTCCCCATTCACTCCAGGAATTTTCAAATTTCAGGACTGCGAAAACTAGGAGCTCAGTCGACGAAAAATCGCCAAAGCAACAACTAGCCCAACTCTATTACCAAGCACGAAAAGGAAGAATCGACTTAAATGATAAAAGTCTTTAACTTGGACATGACGTCTCGATCCATAATTCCGTTGTTACGCTTTTTCGACAAGTCGCGTCGCTTCTTCTTCTAGATTTGAATTAACCCCCATCCACACCGGTTCGGTCAAGCACCATCTACTTGGAATCTGTCCGGAATCTTTTGCACCTAAAAAACTAGATTGGAAAACTAGTGGACTGTTGAAAACAATGTGCGCATCCAAGTCAAGGATGTGTCCTGGTTTATTTCTGCGTTTTCTCCGGGGGGAAATATTTTCAAGGGTAATGTGGCCGTTTTCGTGGACTGAACACGCTTATCAGCAAGCAGGTCTATAAATTCAACCATCTAATTCACTAACGAACATCAAGGCAAAAATAAATATGCGGCTTATAGAGCAAAAAGGGTGTTCGCACGACGGCCACCAACTTGATATCAGAAGAGGGGCGTTTCAGAGAAAAATTTTTCCAGTTCAAAAAATAGCTTGCGGCTTATGGGCGCCGCGCAGAAAAATGCAAATTCGATAAGGAAGACGACAAGTTTTTAAATATCCTAACAGCGGAATATTTCTGAGGAAGATCATTGAGTAAGTAGAAGCGCGGCATTTTTTTCTTCCTTCTAAGTACTGATAAATGACGGTGACGAATTGTGTTCACAGAATCTTACTTCAATTTGCAGGCTTCCGAAAAGGCGAGTGCGTCGCAAAAACTGTAGCTCGTATATAATTGTATACCAATCTCGGAACTCGAAGCAACTAATACACTATCATGGCCTGAGATTAATAGTAGAGTCTTTCGTATGAATACAGAGGGCACAGTCAATAATTAATTTAATTCCTAATGGAATAGAGCTAGTAAGCTAAAGTTTCGGTTTTAGCAAGATTCGTCGCCTGGGACTTCTCATTGCGCAGGTATAAAATTTCAAAAACTCTGGAACGTACTGTAAATTCAAAAGCAGTGAGCGCCTTAGAGCGGAAAATTTTCTTCAAACGGTTATATAAGTTGATATAAAAAACATGAGCCATGAATATACAGAAAGTTTTTTGTTGGAAAACAACACGATAAAACTTACGGGGCAAAACCTAATACCCTAACCTAATTATCAAAGTTTTGATACCAAACTTTGCCTTTTTGAAAAATCGTCACGAGGCAGCACATATTCTATGGAACCTCGATAGTCCTCACTTGACAGCCATTCCTCTCGATAACAATGGCGAGAAAGGATTTCCGGTAAACCCTTCGAGAAGCCAGTGAAGAACTTTACGCTGTTCCAAATTCTCGCTCGTACCATACTCGTCTAGACAATTTTTACGACGTAACCTTCTACGGCTATCAAGGGTGCCTCATTAGGATTTCCTTTTTGACTTGTTCATCCATGGCGAATATAATCTCTCTTCATCCAGCATACTATTCTCGATAGTTTTGTCTCCATGATCCAAATTCGAACGTTTTAACCCAAGTTGTCTCAACGCTCATCTGGCAGTGGCCTCTCTCACAGGTCGTATTGAAATACTTTTCCGATGTCCCTATTCGTTGTCTCCCACCCGACCCTACCGCACCCTCCCCTGTGTGTGTTTCTTTTTGATTTGTTTCTTCAAAAAATTGCATTCTCATCTAATTTGTTCATTTTCGCTTATGTTAGCAACTGACGTAAGACGTGGGAAAGAATGCAAGAAATCCCTGTGCACGACCCCTTTATGTTATAGCAATGTCAAAATGCTCACCTTGAAATCTGCTAATTCTTCCATAGCAGTGCCATAGAAATCATTGATGTCAATGATGAGGTAGATGGCGAATCCTATGCAAAATGCGGTGGTAGCAGCAGTCACACATGCAGTTCCAGCAATAACAGTTGTTGCCGCCATCGTGACTTACGCGAAGCTGAAAATTGCATTATCACAATAGAGAAAGTCTCTGTCGCTTTGAAACAACACGGCTTTCTAGGGAAGTGTTGCGCGATAGCAGTAAATCCAGTAGGGTTGCAAGTATGTTATGGTATACATCGCGAAGCACCTTCTACCTCCACTTTCAAAGCCCAGTTTACAAAACAAGGATGTATGTAGATGCGACGATTATCGCCGAGTAAACCCCGCTCCTACGGGGAGCGTGCAACAGAATCGTCCGGGAGTGGCGCCGTCGCGCGCGGTTACTTGCGCGACGCCGTAATGCGGCACTTTTGGATGGGCGCGGCAACAACAGACTTCGATTGGAGCGACAGATTTGCTGCGGTCCACATTAACCCTTTTGGCCGTGGACCATGGGACGATTCTGTTGATTCTGATTATGAATCTAAATTATGAAATGATGAAATTGAATGAATCTGAATTATGAAATGAATTATGATTATGAATCTTCTGATTATGATTCTAAATAATATCAATACTGTAGATGTAGAGGCCACAGCGATATAATAGCGAATTTCGAAAAATACAATAGCGAGTTTCCCTATAGCCACCTATGGCTTTGTTTGGACCGCAGCACATAACCATAAAAACAAACAGTATGGAACAGAAAACGAAGTAGCATGGCACTGACCAAAATGTCTAAGAGGACGTCGGTATAGCGTCCTTTTGAAAATCAAAGGAGCGCCGCACGACTCGTCCACTACAGTCGCGACGTCGCGGCCGCGACCACAAGCGCGGGTCTCCGGACGATTCTGTTGCTACACACCCCGCTCCTACCCATTTGCTCGGTTGCCTTTGCATTCCATGCCATAGCGTCGTAGTGTGCAGTCACCCTATGGCATCTATGGTCTATGGACGCTAATACTAGTCATAAGTCGACACCTCTATAATAGCACCGAGTTCAGGGTAACCGAGTTAAAACTTGAGTTCACAGTAATCTCTCTCAAGACATTATGTCTGAGTGGCCCTATCGTCCACCATCCCCGCTTCTAACAGTCGACTGCATGTAGGCCTGGGCGAGGATGTATTGGGTTGACCTATAATTTCTGGCCGATTTTGGTTCGAATTCAATTTTCTTCATGTCAAATTAGCTTCATGATGAAATAAGCTAATATGTTGAAGAACGCATCAGGACCTTCAGCCAGGATGCTTCAGAAGCTGAATTGTGGAAAGGGGGGTCAAAATAGATCAGCAACCAAACCCAACGATTTCGCCTTGTGACAGTTTTAAAAGAATGATGCGCGTAGACAGATCAGCGCTACGTTTGCCAGTCTTTGCTAGTGGTCAGGACACGAGCTTTGCTTACAGATTACGCAAAGGATATAGACGCTGTAAGATGACCTCTATGGGCCCCATCAATTTCGAGCAACGAGCGACGATTGCGCGACGATTAGGGAAGTGACTCCGGCGCTATTAGCAGAGAAACTGTAGCAAATTTATGAGCGCAGCTTAACGTTCCATGAGGAGCACAGCCTGTGGAATGACTGGTAGCAGATGAACTTTGATGGAAACGCATGCATGGGCTAGACCACGACCAAAGCAAGACGCTGACTACTGCTACTTTATTTGCGACCGTATGGAAGAATTTCGCTGGTCAGGGTCACAGTGCAGATGAGTATGGAGACCCTACGATTACAACAGCGGCTCGCAGTGTGGCCACCTTGCTGCCTAGAACGCTGACATCGGACCACAAAACCAGAACTGTTTCTCAGGGGTGGACCACCCATTTTGGTGGATTCGCTGGGTTTCAAAAGAAATTATCAAAACGCCAGGAATGTGCCTTTTCGCGTCTCAGGCTACCATCGCAAATAAAGGAGGGTGAGAAATCGTGGCTACGGAAGTGGTAAAAATAAGTACTGGGTGGGCGAGGCATAAGAAGGATCAACATTGTTTCGCAGATTTGAGGCTATGAGAACGATGGAGGCTAATTCTTCCTTTGGTGCTGCTTTGTAGGAAATTGATGTCGAGGACGTGTGCGCGGGGCACGACCCTTCCCCCTCTGGAATCGAGGGTGTTGGCACTCCCCCTAAAAAAGATCGCAATTAATTCATCATTTAATAGAAAATTTCCTGCACAAATAATATTCGCAAACGCTTCTCTTGTATCTACGGCACTTGAGCATGCGAAGCTGCGGCCAGCAAACTTGTCCTTGGGTCGATTGGGTGAAATCCAAAAAAAACTGTTGAATCTACACCTCGATGAAGCGTTCTTCTCCATTTACGACTTGAAAAAACACGCGAAAGGGGTGGTAGTAGCAGTTAGATTTGGACTATCCAGGCAGCATTGGAGCGTATGGAAGCCTACCATTCGAGAGAATAGATTCCTCAAATCCGTCGAGGGATGCTTCGAGGATGCTGGAATTTTAACGCGGAGGTTCTTGTACTAAGGGCAATTCTCTCTTATTTTGATGCTTTGGGAAGGCGAAGACGAGTTATTGGAAAAAGCTGGAAGGGGTGTTCGCGTTTTCTAACAGTTTTGTGCTTCAGCTTATCCTTCTAATAATGTACAGTTGTAGGATATTTGCGGCGAGGATATTATCGAAGGATGGGATTAACGAGGCTCAAAAATCCGCTCCCTCTTAAGGTGCAAGCGGCAATTCATGGGAGCGGCCTAGAGTGTCTGGAGTACATTTTCTTCACATAGCATAAGAAGAGGCATCGCGTCATCCGTTTTTGTCTGGGCAAGGCTTGCGCTCGACTTCACTTGAAATTGGAATCGATGAAAGGATGTTGCGACGGTCTGACAGCTTTGACGAGGGTGCATTGTTGGTAAAACAGTTTCGCAAATCCTTAGGTGCCTGGAGGGGACAAGCGTATTTGTCCAGGGCTTCCTTTTCACGGTTCCTTGTGCTTTGCGACAGCGAAGCGGCCGGTCCCTAAAAACAGTGTTTTCGCAACGGGATTGGAGGGCGAGGGAGCGGAACGGGAGTGAAGGAGGTGCTTGGTAAGCAAAGACGCGTTGGGCACATTGTGGATTCCTTGCGGGAAGAGCACTTCGTATCGGTACTGCTTCCAAATAAACTCCTCCCGTGAGTTAACAATGAGCTCTAGAGAACCTGCCAGTTAATCCATGTTTTGTTATCCAATTTCGTTTTTTCTTTTTTTGCTTGCGCTACCCTCTCCCTCCTATCTGCACCGCGAGCCAGTTGATGTACTGACCCACGACTAGACCCCGTACGAGATCCCGCAGTACGAGCCCCTGTCGGGATTTCCTCTACGATCGTTCCCCTGCCGCAGTGGCTGTTTAAGCTGAAAAATTATAATTTTCTACAAAGTGTTACTCAATGGAATTTAGAATGGCGTGCCGCATCAGCACAAAAAGGACGATTGATCGGACGGCAACGTTTCTTTTTTATTGCGCCCCTTCCATCCCGTCGACACCGCAATCGACGATAAGTTGTGCACTAACGATATAAGTCCACCAATAACAGACGTCTTTGGACGCGGAGCTATTTTCATGCCCAGGGCCGATTAGGTCGGTCGAACAAAGTTTTTTGCACTCAATGATGCAAGTTCATATTGCGAGATCTTGGGTAAAGGAGCGATCACGTGGCTCGCTGTGGATTTGTACCTCAATTACAATCGATAGTAGTTGAGGGGAAGTTATTGTTTAGACGGAGTTGTTAAAGGCATGGAAGATATGATCGATGAAGATAAGGAAGGTTCGCGGCTACGGGAGGGAAGGCTGGCGAATAAGTTCTTTTGTTTTTTGCTAACCGGAGTGGATTTCGGGCTTATGTCTCTTCCGTAGATACAGAGCCACTGCCATGAACTTTACGTGTTTAAACATTGGGCAAGCACGCTATCCACTCCAGTATACAGGTTCTATCGTGTCATAGAGATGACAAGAATCTGATGCTCGCTGAGCCTCATTGTGATGTAAGATTTCTTCAAGAAGTCGCAGTGGAGGTGTATACACGTTTGTGGGGCAAGCTTTCGCTGTACGGCTCTTCGGCCTTTATTATTTCAAACACATACGATGGCGACTGATTTCGAAAGCTATCTCCGAAGAATTACTAACAGTCTGGTAAAAGCGCAATTTGTAAACCAATATATTATATATATAATTATATATATATATATTATATATAGTATATATATATTATATATATATATATATATATTATATATATATATATATTTTATATATAATCATATATATATATATATATATATTATATATTATTATGATATATTTATATATATTATATATATATTTATATATATATATATTTATTATATTATATATATATTGATATATTATTATATATATATATATATATATATATATATATTTTATATTACTTATATTATATATTATATATATATATGCCACAAAAAATTCAGAATTCTGGAAGAAAATGTTATAGACGGGAATCGCCGAGGACGGTGGCGCCTTGCTATGCTGCAGGAGGGCTGCGGACCGCTGGGTTTTCCGTACGTGAATGCAAGGGTAGCAAAGAAAGTGAACCATGTATGTTGTCAAGTCGTTCAGGTTTCAGCTAAATTGGGATTTCGAACACTGCAACTAAACCTTGGCTGATATCATCACGATTTATGAAGAACGATGTGGCGGAGAACTGTCGTCTGAAATTCGTAGCTTAAGTAGGTTACAGTGGTATTTGGACACATGCGATGGTGCGGTCAGTAATACGTGGTGAGAGAAACGCCCGCCTAATATTACGCATTGGAGGACACGCAGAGCGCTGCGGAATCCATTTTCTACCCAGCAGTGGGTTCTTGCGGCATCGTTGACTGTTACCACAGACAAGAAACGCCCCCACTTTATGTATATTACACCGCACGAGGGATGACCATTAGAGAGGAAGCTGCTTGAAGCACTTGCTATAAAACGCTTATCCCCCGAAATGAACAACAGGGATGGGCTCATGGAAGCACTGAGATTAATATCTTAGCGGTGGCGATAAAAACATGCATTACAATAGTCACGCACATCGCTTT